AAATTCCTGTAGGGATTGGGAGATCTGAGAACCAAAAGTTTAAAGGAGATTATAAAAGAAAAGCAAAGACACATGCCTCTACATACTTCATCCTTAAGCTCCTTCTAGCCACATCTATAAGTTTTCCAAGTTTTCAGCTTCTCAGACCTGATTACTTCTTTTCGGGTGACATTGGTTTTAATTTTCTTATCCACAAAATATTTAAAAGTGAGAAGGGAGGTGGATGAGGGTATGGGGGGATAAGTGGGGATGGACAATCTTGACTTGGGGTGGTGAACACACCATACAGTGTACAGATGATGTGTTGTGGAATTGTGCACCCAAAACCTGCTGACCAGTGTCATCCCAATAAATTTAATAAAAAGGAAAAAAATTAAAATTAAAAATAAAATTAAAGAAGTGAGAGACAAGGCTGGAGATGAGATGCAGTTAAATTACTATTGGATTTGCTGCCTCAGGCTTACTGGGCAAAGGCTTAAATTCCCATGGAAAAGTTCCCCTTTCCCTTCTCTCCCCTCCTCCTCCCATTCCCCTTCTCCTCCATTTCCTCCTGTCTTTCTGTCTCTCTTTTCTCTCTCTTCCCAATCTCTCTTGTAACTGAGCTACAGCAGGGCACCATGGGAAGTCTCTGTTTATGCCCTGCTGCCCATTTTGAAGTAGGACTCAGTCTGTGGACACATCCTTCCCCCAAGAACAAATTCATAATCCTTCAAGCAGGTTTTAATAAATCTTTACTGAAGATTCTGTGGAGAGGCAAATGAGGGGGCTCATACTACAAATCACAAGGTAGACGTTAATGAAGATTTCCTCTGAGCATCTCCACAACCCCCAGCCCCCAGCCTGTCGCTGACATTTCTTCTTTGGTGGCAGCCCCCTCATCTCCTACTCTTCCCTTTCCCCTCCCATTGCATTAGCTTTAAGCTTTTTTGGATCCTGCATATAACTCCAGCATCCCCACCTGGGATCTCAGGTAGGGAAAGGCAACTCTCCTTCGACTGCCCCTTCCTTGCATCTTCATATTCATTATCTTGCTCAGAAGACAAAGGTCCTGCCTTGGGATTTGCCCTCCTTGGAATGTGACAGGGAATTTTTAGTAAACGAAAACATTTTTTTCACCCTTCTAAATAATGTTATTTCCCCCCTGTCATTCATTCATTCACAACGTGTGCACAGTAGAGTACCTCTGGCATCTTTGTGACCGTGCTCATTATAAAAAGCCATCCATAGTGGGGGTGGGGTGGGACAGGGTGGGGAAGTGATAGAGTTAACAGCCACATGGAGGTTTAGAGTTATGAGGTCTTAAAACTAACAGTGACCTTAGAAATGGATGGCAGGCATTTCCACCTGGGCCTCAGTGTAGTTTCCTTTAGTCGGGAAGAATGAGAATCAGGCTGAAGATGTGGACCTGGGTCTTGTGCCCAGGGAGGACCTGATACACATCAATCAACAGGGAGGCACTGACCTCTTTGTTGGGCAGGATTTGTAACAGGGAGGGCAAAGGTCTGAGAGGTTAAACATCTGGGAGTCTTTGCTAACATACATAAACTAAAGAACTCACAGAAGTGGCAGTGTTAGCTGTCAGTGGTGAGTACAAATCTTTAGCCAGATGCTTATTGATGATGCAGTGCCGTGTTGGCCAGGACTTTTATCTCATGGGGTTGTGCTTGTGTCTCTCTCAGCATGACAGGAAGGAGAGGATCACAAAGCCGTTTGTCAACTGAAGCTGAAGGCTGTCATGGTAGACTAGTCCAACTTCCTCTCCTATAGACTTATGACAATGCCTTCAGATTCCCTGGCAGGCCATGTTGTTTTTAAACCTGTCTGGAGGACCTCAGGGGGCTGTGGTTCTCTGGGGGTGGGGGCAGGGGCTGTGTTGATCCAACTTTCCCAGCTGTGTACCAGCAAGGTCACCTACCAGCCATGCTCACCATTGACTGGTAGAAAGTGATCAGAAGTCAACATAGAAATGATGCCCAGAACCTCAGTGGGTTACACAGATGCACTAGCATCTGGCCACAGACCCCCACCTGTGCTGTCAAAAGTTGGGCTGATGGACCTGGATGATGATGATAATGATGTTAATGATGATGATAGTGACAATAGGAGCTACCATGTATTGAGTCTACCTTGTGCTAAGCACTAGGCTGAATGCTTTATAAACAGTTCCATCATGTCCTCAGGGCAGTTCTGTGAGGCAGGTGTCCTTTTCCTTTTTATATAACTGCACTCCTCTAATTACATTCTGCAGTTGAACTCAAATATGTCTGATATTAGAATCTGCACCTACAGCCATCCCTGTGGCCAAACAAAACAAGCAAATAATCGCTCCCCTTTATACCCAGCTGAGCCTCAGGTGGGGTGAGCCACAGCATGGCCTGCCAGGGCTCTAGGACTATTCACTGACAAAAGTGCACTGAAGTGGGCCTTAGGATGAAAGGGAGCTTGGAGAGTGGACCAGTTTCCAGTGTTGCTGGGTTTATTGGAGTGACACCATGTTTCTCAGGGCTCAGGGGGACTAAGACAAGTGAGTAACTCTCACTTCCTTAGGCCCTTTCAGCCTTAGGGAGGAATCGAGGCGGGATCACACTTGTGATAGCACAATGGGTCCTCTAAACTTTCCCATCCTTAAGTCCCTTCCTGGGCCATGGGTCTTTGGGGGCTCATGTCTGCCTGTGACAGTCTCCTTAGCAGGCCACTGCTGACGCTGTTGGGTATTGCCTTCTAATACATAAGATAGTATTCTAGGATCACAAATGAATGAGGGGCTCTCTGTGCTGTGTGGGGAAGCAGACATGGGAATGCTTCATTCTTCTCCCTGGGATCCCCTGCCAGGATGAGAGGGGAGATGCTACCTTGTCGCTCAGAGAGTAAATCTGGAAGGGGCTTGGCAGTCTGCAAAAGGCTTTCAACAGAGACCTTGCTAAGTGTGCCTCTTTGAAGGAGGGAATGAAGTCTTCATTCAACCTGGCATGGTGCCTGGCACACAGCTGGTGCTTAATGAACGTGAACTGAACAGTGACAAATATTTTTTTAGGTGCATCATATTTGGCTGGCGGTGGAAAGTGGGGAGGTGAAAGAGGATGTGTGATGTCAACCTTGATCAATCAAAGATCCTGACTTCAAAGTGTGGGGTAGTAAAAACTGTCTGGGGACAGGCAGATCTGGGTTCAAATCTCAACTCTGTCATGTACTGGCTACGTGATCTAGAGCAAGGCTCTAACCTCTCTGGACCTCAGTTCCCTTCATCCAAAAAAGGAGACATAATACCTCCCTCACATAGGTGGGGGAGGATGAAATGAGATCGCTAACTCCCGCATCCATGTGCAGTGCCCCCTGTAGGGCAGCTGGCATCAGAGCCTGCAGTGCAGCATGCACATCCCCTTGGCCACCTGGAGGTCACTGCAGCTCTCTCTGTGGGTGTTCTCTGGTTGTGGGGACATGCTCAGCTCATGCATAGGACAACCTGGAAGTGCAGGAACCTTCAAACAGTGAGGGACTCACTCCTGCTTGCTCGTCCCTCAGTGTAATGATTCTTAATTCTCTTCACACAGTCTCTTAGAAGGTCCCCAATGGGACTGAGTCCCGGTTTTCTGTGCCATCCACCTGTTCATGAACACATTCATATTGTCTTCCATGTCTCACCACCCTACACTCTCACCAAGCTTCGTGGGGCACCTCCCAAATAAACTACTTACTCCCAAATCCCTGACTTAGAGGATAATCCAAACTAATACACAATCAATGAAAGCTACTATTATTATAATTTTTCATAGGACATGGGTGTGGCTAATGAATACAGAGAAATATAAAATACTATAGAAGAAAAAAGGAAGATTACTACCAGCTGAAGGCACCAGGGAAGGTTTGGGGACAGAGATTATGTGTAGTATTTGATGTGGATGTTCAAAGGTGGGAAGGACTTGTACATGAGGGGATAGGTCGGAGAAGGGCACTTCAGTGGAGAGAACAGGGTCTTATGTCCACAACTCTAATGATTCCTACAAAAACCATGTGTGAGTCAGGTAGGCAGACGAGCCAGGCGGGTCCACACACTGGTCTCGTCTGGACACAGAGCTCCCTGGCCACACGGCCCCAGCACTTTGGCCCTGTGCCTGACATACTTTCAGGCTATATTCATCAGTGCACCAGCGATGGGTTAGTACTTTCCTTCTGCCCCTGAAGCGTGGCCCTGTGGCCTCTTTTCTCTGTCATAGTCTGTGGAAACTCCACTAAGCACTCTGCACAGCTGCCCACGGGAGCATCCCATGGGTCTTGAGTCTTCTGAAGGCACCAATGAGATTTCTGCTCAGCGCTCCTCAGCGTCCTTCTGAGAACACCAGCTGTCTCCTCTGCTTGGACCTGATAGAGCGCATGGGCAGTATGACCCTCAAGTTTGAGACATCAGTCTTAGGCTGTACTTGTTTAGCTTACCTTATCTGATGATCCCTCATCATTGGAGTGAGTGATCTCAAGATGTCTCAGCCTCTCCAGAGGACATACAGTTAGGGCTTTCCTGCTAAAAATGAAGGAGAAAAAGAGGAACAATGCCATGATGCTCAGGATAAGTCTTTGCCACCTCTTTGCTCTAGTTCAGTGTTGAATAAACCATTTTTGTCAGGGACATTTTTTTAATTAAAATCTGATAGAGTGAGAATTATATGGGTAAAAGCTGAATTCCCTTGGCGAATCAAGGTGGTGGGCGGAGGTTCTGCTGCCCAGACCCCTCTTTGAGGAGCACAGTGTGAAACCATTGCTTGAGTGGATAAAAGGAGGAAAGTAGAAGGAGAAAGGTGATGATCTGATGTACCCTGGGCCTGTTTTAGCCTCATATGACCTGGCAAACATGTGGAACCTGCCAGACGATTTCAATTCTAATATGCCAGAAAGCTGAATCTCTTGGTTTCTACTTTGAAGGAATCAGTTGAAAGACAATGGCTCATGTCACAGGTCCGAAACTCAGACTGGTGAGAAATCTTACTAGCTTTTCTCTTCTCTTTCAGAGGTTCCAAAAACAGAACAGACCTTTGAAGAGCGCCTGATCCTGAAAGCTTTCTTGCTGAAGTTTGTCAACGCCTACTCGCCCATCTTCTATGTGGCCTTTTTCAAGGGGAGGCGAGTGTATTGGAGTCATATATGGAAGAGAAACGGGTCTCTAAGTCTGGGTCCTACACTGGAGTCAGCCCGTCCCCATTGGCAGTGCACATCCTCAGCCCCATTCCCCACCTCTCCCCTCCCCGGGCTGTTCAGGAAGCAGTGGTGTTAACACTAAACCATGTTGTATCAGCATCTTCAGATTCTGATCAACAGGGGACTCTACAGGGGTTTGGCTCTGGGTCCTGAAGGGTGAGTCTTAGCATTTGGTCTCCTAGCTTTGAGAATGAGGCAGAAGAGAATTTCATCTCTAGCCATTGACTCAGATTTTGCAGTACAATTCTGATGCTAACTACCCAGAGTTAGTACAGACTTCATAAATTAAGGGCATAATCTTCCATACCACTGTCCTCACTGCAGACATTAGCCTCAAGCTATGGGGTTCCTGGGCCACTAACCCCTACAACCATTAATTCCTCAGGTTCAGTAATTCACCACAACAAATTACATAACTCAGGAATGTGCTGTACTTACAATTACAATTTTATTATAGCAAAGGGGTACAAATCCGTAGCAGCATTTAAAAAAGGCACAGAAGGTGAGGTCTAGGTAGGTCCTAAACAAAACTTCCATGTTCTCACACGTCAGCTTCAGGCACATTGAGGTGTACCAATAATCAGGAAGCTCACCCAAGCTTCAGGGTCCAGAGTTTTCATATGTATGTATGGTTGATTGAATCACAGGCCATGTGATTGAACTCAATATCCGGTTCTGCTCTCCACACCTGAGGTCAGGCTACTGTTACCTGGCTCAAAGCCCCAAACCTCTAATCACATGACTGGCCCTTCTGGCAAGGTCTTCTTCCTCCTGAGTGATCTCAGCATAAATTTAGGTATAGTCCCAAGGGCCACCAAGAATAACAAAGACACTCCTATTAGGAAATTCCAAGGATTTAAAGAAGTTCCTTCAAGGAACCAGAAACAAAGACCAGTCTAATTCTTCATTATATAATAGGTCTGGATGTAAAATCACTTCTGATAAAAAAAAATTTTGTGGTAAGACCAAGTGGCTACCTACAAGGAGATTTCCCAGTAAACATTAACTGTGCCAGAAAAGCTTCCCTAGAACTAAATGCTCATCAAATAGACATTGATAGCAAGAACTCTCATCATCCACATTATAATTTCTTATAAATGTGTTTATGGACCAAACCACAACCCCTTCCCAGGACCTCTGTCTTTGACTCTTCCAAAATTATAGTAGCAGAGAAACTGTTCATATCAATAAGTACATATTTCATTGGTGTTTTGTATCTAAATTTACTACCAATAACAAATGGCATACATATGATGTTCCAGGCAATAAGTAAATAGGGTCCTGACTACTATTCAAAGAGTAGTCTTGGCAACAGCACACTATAATCTGCAAAAAGTGCTGTAATAAGAGCTACAAAGATGAACAGAGACTATGGTACTTCACAGAGAAGCAAAAGTTTAAGCTGAGCCTTAAATGGATGTAGGATTTTTAACAGGTGGGCCCAGGTATGACATTTCAAATAAATAGGATTCACCTAATTACCTGTTTAGTTCCGTGATTGTCTGTGTTTCACGCACCTGCGCAGTGTTCTTGTCCCCACCCCTGCCCCCCCCCCCAATAAAATTGATGTTACTTTGAAGAGGAATGAGGCAGTCTTCTTCCATTCCTTTGAATGTTTCAGTAAGAAGTCTAGATTTTTCTTTTCTGTTCCCAGGAATCTCCACTTACAACTTTATCTGTCTCACCCTTCTTTTCCTGGGAAATAAGCACTCACTGAAGAGTTGCAATCAGAACTCAATTCTTTAAACTAGTTGAGAGAAGAAGATACATCCACAGTACACTTAGAGATAATCCAAATTTTGTTGTGTTTAGGCTCAGAAGTTATTACACACACACACACACACACACACTTCTCCTGTGTGACCTTCCCAGCCCCGCACTAGCTTCACCCCCATACCCTGGAGGTGAACCCTAGGTGTTATAAATGATTATTGTCTGATAACAGAGTATGAACTGTCCCTGGGTGATTTATCACTTGCCCTGGTCAGTAATTTCAAGAAGGACATTGGGCAGTGGCTATTGTTCTGAAGGTATGCCCTCAAGCAGCCCCGACTTTCTCTCTCTTTCCCTAACTCTTCCCACACTTCTCAATTTCAGATTTGTGGGCAGACCAGGAAGCTACGTTTATGTGTTCAATGGTTACCGCATGGAAGAAGTAAGTATAGTTAACCACCGGTGTTTCCTGCCTGGCTAGTGGTTTGTAGGGGCACCTGCCACCCCAGCCCCATCCTTATTCCCATGGCACCACACCCGTGTTCCTCTGAGCTCACTTGGGCTAACCACCCCTTCCTTTGTCCTTCCCTCTCTGCAGTGTGCTCCCGGGGGCTGCCTCATGGAGCTCTGCATTCAGCTCAGCATCATCATGTTGGGGAAGCAGTTGATCCAGAACAACATCTTTGAGATCGGAGTCCCGTATGTAATGAATGCTTCTCATCCCTCTCCTTGCTGCCACAGTCTAGCTCAGCAGGGCCAGACTTTCAGCAGGATTTCCATGCCCTCTCCTCTTCTCAGATAGCTTGGCTATCTTTTGTCCACTTGCCAATAACTTTCCCCACAAGGCAGGGCTTGTTTGCAATCTGATTTGGGATGTTTGAGGCTCCAAAGATTAAGCACTTTGTTAAGTACACATAAGCAGCAAGTGGCAGAGCTAGAAATCAGGTATCGCTGACCTTTGTGTGTCTAATATTTTTAATGCTATCTGTTCTCCCAGTGAACAAGTGAAAGAGACTTTCAGTACGGTGGCTACATGAAGATGGAAGTTTGAAACATCATACAACTTTAGAAACTCTAAGAAAGTCTGGAATATGTGCTCTTAGGAGGGGAAAAATACATAGCTGGAGAAACACAGGGTGGCTTTTCATATGGATTCTCTCTCCCCTCCCAGGTGGCTTTATACAGATTTTATAGAAGAATAACTTTCAATTAGGCTTTGCATTGGGACAGTGATGAAAATAAACACTGACTCACAGGCACTAGACCTAAAGGAAAGAGAATGCAGCAAGTGAAAATCTACCGTCAGGACAAAGAAAATGTAACTTGTTCTGCCTTTTATTTCTATTGCTTATGGTGTTTCAAGAAAAATCAGTTTCAGTGGACATTTTTAGGCAGACCAGCAATAGAAAGCCAGGGAATGACAGAGATGCCTGGGGCAGCACTTACAGGCTGGGCCAGTTCTGTTTAGGAGGACAGGATGGACAATTTGCACCAGGCCTGGAGTTCTTTGCAACCCCCTGGCAAGATTAACTGTTTTAGATGCAATAGTCAGTCCCCGCAGGATTAGCTGAAGATGCTGCCATACACTCTGTCTCTGCCTTGGACTGTGCACACTGTATTAATGGTGCTGAGAAGTCCTGCTGTAAAGAAACGTGTTTAATTCCTTCCTTTCCAACTGTATTTGTTCATGGTATTGGCCATCTTAATTGTGAACATTGGTCCACTCTGGCTAGTTCAAAGAAGCAAAGGAATTTAAGAACAGTAAGTTGCTAAAGTGGCTAAGAGAATATTCTTTAAGGGTCAGAGAGCCAGGCTATGAGCTACATAACCAAGAATAACACTGTCTAGACTGCAGGAGGGCTTGCAGGGAATACCATCATCTTCATTTCTTGATTCACATGAGTTACATATTAAAAGATGAGACTTGTATACCAAAGAGTCACATCCACAAATACTGCAGTCTGAATTTAATTAGCTGTCTTCATCAGCTCGGGCCGCTATAACAAAATAACACAGACTGGGTGGCTTCAATAACACACATGTATTTCCCATGGTTCTGGAGGCTACAAAGTCCAAGGTCAGGGTGCCAGCATATTTGGTTCTTGGTGAGGGCCCGCGTCCTGGCTTGCGGATGGCAGCCACCTCACTGCCCACGTGACTTCTCCCTCCTGTACACGTGGAGAGAGCGAGAGCTCTGGTGTCTCTTCTTGTTCCTATTAGGGCACTAATCCCAGCATGGGAGCCATCATCCTGTCCTCATCTAAACCTGATTGCCTGCCAAGGCTCCACTTCCTACTACCATCATGCTGGGCACTCAGACAGACAATAGTTTGGGGAAAGCAGAATGGGGGTGGGAGCAGGGGGCAGGGAATCAATGGGGGAAAACAGAGGGAACATCTGCTGTAATATTTTCAACAAAAACTAAAACAAACAAGCAGAAAAGACTTCAACATACAACTCTTGGAGGAGATACAAACATTCAGTCTATAACAACAGCCCATTTGTTTTGTTTTGTTTTTCTTTCAACCTAAGTACAAGATTTGTAAGCAATTAAAATTTTGAAAAATACATAAATGAAATGGTCCTTGTCTTCTCAGAGCTTATATTTTAAGTTTGAGAGACAAAATAGATAGCATGTGGCCAGGTGCTCTCTGTTGGTGCAAACTCGGTCAGAATTTGGAGTAAGTAAAGGTCAGGGATTTGGGAGCAGTCGGGGAAGGGTTCCTAAGCTGAGGGGCTTCTTCCAGGCTGTGTGTGTTTGAAGAAAGCTGCCACCACCATTTGTAACAAGATGATCTGCAATTATTTTGTTTGAAGGAACAATTTCTCTTGGGTGGGGATATCTTTTCTAAACAAACAGCAGACTGACCCAGGCTTATCCAAATCACCTCCTGACCCAGGTGGTGCTACAAGATGGAAGAAAGTAAGGCTCATGGAGATGGCAGCTCCCTGATCAAAGTCTTGGGGCATGTCAGGGTCACAGCAAGGGCAAGAGCCCAGAGTCTCTCTAAATCCAGTGAAAGGTTGCTGAATCCTAGGTTGCTTGGGCTGAGTGGAACCGTTAGAGGATCCATGATCCAACTCCTTTCTCCATGGAAAACTACACCAGAGTCATCTGCCTCCATGGGGGGCTGTAATTGTCTAAAAGGTCTCCAGAGAAAACTATTCTTTGGTATTTCTCAGAAACACTTGCAGAGCTAAAGTTATAAGGGAGAACATTTAGTTTACCTGGGAAAAAAAACAAAAACAAACCCTTTTTAGTGAGAGCTCTCCTTCAAGGAATGAGAATCTTCAACGTTCCCTCATGAAACAGACCTCAGAACAGATCTCAGCATCACTGACCATTAGCTGAGCTGAATGCTTAGGATGGTTTTCTGTCCTTGGGGACAACCTCCGGTGGCCCTCAGGCACGTGCTCTCTTGGAGGAGAGTTGGTGGACGCATTGGGGTCTGGGCACCTGTTCTACCCTCCTTCTTAAACTAGCCACTAGTCCTCGGTCAGGAAATCATCAGTCTTGAGAAACTTAGCCCTCCGAAGCTATGCCCTGTTTTCCAACTTTCTAACTGAGATTCGCTCAGTGACCGTCATGAAGCAGAGCTGGTGAAACACATGGTTTCTGTTCTCTAGGAGTTTACCCTCTCAGAGAGACCACAGTTGTTGTGGACAAATGCCCAGAAAATATGCAGACCAAAAAAAGATGTACCAAAGCCACATCGAGCCCCTGGAAAGCTAGGAAACCAGCCTCTCCACCACTGCTGCAAAGGAAAGTCTCCATCCCCCTCAACATCTGGGGAAGACATCTGCCCTTCCCAGGACATTGTTGTTCTGTTCTGGGTGGAACTGTATATAGCTTGTGGGCATGAGATGCCCATTTTTCATTTCTGGACATCTGCTCTACCATTTAGCCCTTTCGCTCTAGACCCAGAAGCCTTTGATACAGTGTAAGAGCAGCAAGAACTCAGGCATATGTTTGGACAGTGTGTTGGCATGTTCCCCACACATCGACTCCATCAGCTCCATAACAGATGAAACTAACACACGGCTGTTTGCCTCGAAGGCTAAATTTTCTGGTTTACGCTTGATGTATGTTTAATATGCCACAGTTCAGTGATGGTAATTGCATAGTAACTCATAAAGCTGTGGCCCAGTCACTTCCCTAAGTCTCCCTGTCATCCCGTGATGAAAATGATGGCAGTACAACCATCTCTCAGGTGCTCTCATTTCAGCTCAGACGGTCTGTGAACCTCTCCTCTCGTCAATGAAGCTAGTCACTGCTGATTCCACACACAAGTTTCTGTTTCAAAATATATTTTTCTCATTTCAGTTTCTAGTCTGCTAAAGGACACATTCCACGTAATTATGTAGTTACGTTCAGGGATGTAGGACAAAAAGTTCTTCCACCAAACCGCAGGTAGTGTATCTCCAAAGCTCTTTATAATTCTTTGGCTTGTAATTTGAGTTTGGTCACAGGAAGTCCCTATGGTTATGATTTGTGGATCTTCCACTTAGAACCTACTTTCAATCAATTAGACCCATCCAATTTGGCATTCAGCACCTGGCAATGTCTTTACGTGTGACCTAGTTGAAATAAGCAAGAAAATAAAAAGGAGTCTTTTATAGTCCCAAGGAAAATGACAGGTGCGCCTGGCCACGAGGAGGGAGCAGTGCACATTATTAAAATTAGACCCGCTGATCTTTGGCCCTTTGCTGGCGGCAGCACAACATACTCACTGTATAACACTGGAAAAGCTCTTCTAGAGAAATTTTTATTCAATACATTATGTGACAATACAGCTAGGATATATGTTCAGCTACCTAGAAAATGGAAACGAGGGACATCTGAGAAAGGAAGAGCCATTCTTGGGGGTTCCAGGTGGCCAAGGTGTTGCTGACGGCCATCGTACACGTCTACATGTGTGCTTGTGTTTCAAGTCCGCGGAGTAGGCTGAAAAGAGCGCCTCAGGAATATAATTTTCCTCCTCCTTGGGCCCAGTGGCTTTGGTTCAAAATGTCGCCTTTGTGTCCCTTCAGAGCCTGCCTCAAAGTTTTTCCCCAAGGGAAAGAAATATTAATTTTAGAGACCACACTTGCTTTTATATTTATATATATGCAAGTCTGAGGAATTAGGTAGGTGATCTTGACAGAGAAGAATATTTGAGGTAAAATATGTAAGATTTATACAGTTGTAAGATTGACCGTGTATAGTATTCATTATCTACTTCCAAGAGAAATTTTCTTACATTCTTCCAAAGAAAATTTTAAAATGTGAAAGACTAATTGATCTTTATTGTAGGTCAGGCAGTCCACTAAACTTTATCCCTCTCCTTGAGGGTTCACTATTCTCATTAGAGTCTGTGTGTGTGTGGCAAAAAGTACCACAACTATAATTTTTTTTTTTTTATCTTTACCTGAGGACGTTTTTCCATTTTTTTGTCCAGGTGGAGTGGGGGAGGGGAGAGAGGAAGAGAGAGAAAGAGAAACATTGACGTGAAAGGGACACATCAAGTGGCTGCCACCCGCATGACCAACCAGGGCCCGGGACAAACTGCAACTGAGGTACACGCCCTTAGCGGGAACCGAACCCGGGTCTCTCTGGACCGCAGGCCAACTCTCTGACCGCTGAGCCAAACCGGCCAGGGCCCACAACTACAATTTTGATGGCTTTGAGAATCACACAATTCAGCACACTTCTTTAATTA